CACAATTAAGTCAACTGAATTATGATTTCGTCAGCCAGAAAGCTGAGGAAATGCACAAATATGGCAGAGGGGCCGGTGAGGAACCGAGTTTGGGTGGCAGATCCGACCCCAGGGTGCCGGTTAACAGCACAGTTGGTTAGCGTAAAACAGCAATGGTAATCGGTTATGCTGCGAGCATGCGGATGTCTGGCAACAGCCACCACCTGGTGAAGCGAAAACCACCATTAAGCCACATCCATGGACAGCTGATGAATCGAAATGAGACACAGGGGGGAGGCCGGGCTGGGTAAAATTAGGGGGTAGTAGAAAGCAAACAGCTGTTGGAAGGGGGGAAGAGGGATTCTTAGAATATGCACAATAGTTAGCAGCTTTTACACGCAACTTACCCCCTGAAAGAATTTGAGGGCGAAAGCAGAGAGGGAGATAAGAAGAGGCAAAATACGTGGAAACAAATAAGTTTAAAAGAACATACAACATAACGGCCTCCGAGAAGATTCAGGGCTAAAATGGAGATGGCTGGCTGATGGTAATAGACTATAAGATGACTTCTGAGTGGCCCTTAGGGGGCGCGAGCTAAAATGACTAGTTTCAGCAGAAAATGAAGCGGAGATTATGATCACCTGAACAGCTTATCGATCTGAAATTACCAGCTTCTTTATGGAGCCCAAATTACCGGGTTGTATGGGAAAAATAACTATCCCTTATGGACACAGGTGCGTCAAAGCGACAAGTAGACGGCCCCTTTTAATGGATGTTAAAACCATTACAGTAACTCACAAGTTGTGCGTACGCAGAAAACTTAAGTACAGTTGCCTATTCGGTGTTGGCGAGAGAGAGAACCTTTTTGGAAAACGGATCAAAAACCTCCGAGTTAAGCTGCCTGACGGAGCTGATTAAACCGAAGCTATCTGGGCCTCAAAGTGCGAAAACTATCGTTCGGAACCGTTAAAGATGGTCAACAGTATTAGGCTGGATGACTGCTGCGAAGGCGGGATTGAGTCGCAGCCTAAGACGAAAGGAGGATGTGACCACACGCATGCCGCAATGACCCAACACGGTTGGGAAATACACGCGATAAACTAGGCAGCCAATCAGCGTTTGCAGCCGCATCGAGTACGTGTGGAGCCTTTGCTCACGCATGCGACCCAATTATTCGCTAAGTTTCCGCGAGGGGATTCCAGCGCAATAAACGACCAATCAAAGCGCGGGAAGTTTTAGGGCAGAATGTTTTAGAACGCCTTCCGCGACTGTTTGAGAAAGGCTAGAATTCCAATAAATAAGCAAGGGTTGATGAGCCAGAGGATCGAAGATTCCACAGGCCTACAATAATCGGTTTAACGAGCCACTTTATACGCAACTGATGGTCGCTGAGTGCAACCTGCTTTGCAGCAGTAGATGTCATTCGTGATGGTCGGAATCGCGGCAGCCTCACTAAGAAGAGAACGGGGAACCTCCAATATTTAACTAGCGCCAGAGCTACCAAATTTACTTCGAATCCGTTACGGAGACAGGAACTACAATTGAGAGGCGGCCTAAGGCTAAAATAAAATGTGGCCACGTGCTCCACAACGAAGTAAGCCGGTTACGAAATACACCCGGTATACCAGGCAGCCAACCAACGCGCACTGCTGCATCGAGTACGCATGAAGCCGTATGCGACCCAAATATTAGTCAAGTTTCCGCAAGGAGAGTCCAGCGTAAGAAACGACCAACTAATGTGTTGCTAGTCATACAGCCAGAATGTTCTAGAACGCCCTTTGCGACGGGTATGGCATTGGTCGGAAATCCAATAAAAAAGTTAGGAATCCTCGGTTCCTAAAGGCCTAGATTAGCGTGGTTTCCAAAGACTCGCGTTGCCTTCTCTCCTGCCACACTTGTCGGGATAAAACGGTGGCAATCAGATTAGTGGTCCTACCCTTGAAATTATTATATCATTGGGGTAGGCTTCATTTAAGTTCCCTTCCCCTCGCTTATTACCTGCTAGACCTCCTTCAAGTGTTACCATTGGAGTTATCGTTAGGCCTTATCCACAGGTTAAGGCCACCAGCGTTGTCAATCCCAATTATATCTAAAGTTGCGGCCATCACGGGAATCGAATTTAATAGTACCTTGTTCGTACTATATCCTTTAGTATGGTTAATCATCACGGGATAGGAGCTGTTCGCCTGAAAAGCATGACCGATGCTACCGATTTTAATTTTTTTCTAATTTACTGTACTTCAAATTGCGCGCTAGCGTGTTTGCGCTTTTATGACTTATTTGAACGAGCTATGGGCATAGATGCAATTTCTCGACTTTTTTTTCCAGAAAACAGATATATGTCACTTTCATTTACTCCACTCATAAAATACATAATACCACCATTACGTATTACGGAAGTCCATGCCTCCTGGTCTCTAAACGGAGGCATATATTCGATCACCACCTAAATATGCACCCCATACAGAAGGTCGCATGACGACTAGTAAGCTGCAATCGAGAGGCGCTCTGGAAATATAGTACCTACGCTAGTATTTTTTCTAACGAGTTATTTCAAGTTTCGCTTGATTTTTCGGGAGACTTGTGCTTTAATCCCCACTTTTATAAATAAATATGCTACTCCCTACTTTACGGTAGCAAATTTATCTCAAGGTAAATTTTGTACCTAATTTTTTGCCTATTACCCTTAACTATACTGAACTAAATTGAATTACTCGGGATCTGACCGAAAGGTGATCGTGGTTAGGGTGTACCTACGGCTCCATCTGTGACAACAGGCGTACTTTTGCAGCAGGTCTGCAAACATCGCCACTTGGCCCTCTTGCCGTAGAGACAGTCAACCCCTGCGACTCGTGTGAACATGCATTCCAGTCGCCACCGAAATCTTCGCGTATTTGACATCAGTGCTGATGAGAATTTCGGAGCCAGTGCGAGCGAAAATTGACGGTTCTAGAGCACCGCTGCCGAAAAAAGGTACTTCAAATGAATTGCAAAGATTTCTGCCCCCAAATGATGCAGTTCATGCCAACGCCAATATCGCAGGTCCTCCAAGAAAGATTACCCTGGCGTGTTCTTAGTCCTTAACCTCGCATCTGACGCAGCAGCCTACCTGAATGCAACATGAGGGGGTCAACCCAAAATCTGACTCGACAAAGACAAGGAAGAAACGAAGACGGTTTTGGGATCTTTCAGCATGTTAGGAATGCTTCCATTTCCACGATGGATCATCACACAAAAAGGCGCCTGCAAGGAGAACGTGCACCTGGACCGTGGCTAACGATCTCTCGTCAAATCTGATTGGTTTACGGCTGCAGCCCTTTCTCATTGGGTAGATCAATAAATGTGCGCAG